TTTTTAACATGGAAAAGGCATTAGAAGCATCAAGAAGTGCTCTTTTCGATAGTTTTAACTGGATTGAAAAGAAACTTGAAATAATTAAGGTAAGCTTCGCAAAGTTAAGTAGTATATTTATAAAAATTTCAGAAAATTGGGTAATCTTGAAATTTGAAAATGTATTCAATAAATTGAAAACTGCCCTTTTGAATAGTTTAAATCACTTTTAAAATTAAATTTAAATAGTTGAGATACAACGTCTCAAAAATATATTTATAAAAAATTCGGATAATTGTCGTTTTCGTAGTCATTTTTAACGTCTTTGGAAACTTTGAAAAGACATTCAATGCATCGAAAATAAATCCTGCAAACAACTCAAATTATCTTGGGCTATTTTAACCCAGAATCAGACTTGAAATACATCAAATACCTACCTACAGCACCACAAATTATGAAATTAAAGAAATTGCATAAACTCTATCTATTGATAATAAATTATAATTAATATAATTTAAGAAAAACTGCTTTAACTCTACTTATTTGTTACTACATAAGGTAATAAACTAGAGATGCACCAGGTACCCGGCATTAACTGTGCTGGGTACTCGGCAAAATTTATTTTTAATTGAGAATAAAACTAACGGAAAATTTATTTATTCATTGTGTTATTTATCTCTGCTAATGCTCCTGGTATATATTTTCATTTAAAAGAACTTATTTTGCTTTGTTGTTCAAATCGAACATAAAGCTAGAAAGAATCGGCTTGATTTTAACACAAAAAAAGACTCGAGGAATGTGAAAGGATGGCACAAAGCTGTTAGATGTGTAAAATACTCGTATCTGTCCATCTGTACGGTGTATGTGTGTATTTGTCTAGGTTCGTTATCTCTCATCGTGTCGACGTTTGTTTGTTTTGCATTTAAAAATGGCTCTTTTAGTTGATTTTATTGAAATTATTGTAAATGTATATTGTACTTATAGGACCTAGAGATAGCTTTAAATAAAATAGAAGCGGTAATGACAGATCTGTACTGTGTATGAAAATAAATAAAAGTAAAACTAAAATACTGGTATGCAAGAAAAAGTAGGGAAAGAGCGAATATAAAGATAGGAGACGAAAAATTAGAAGAAGTAGCTGATTTTAGATATCTAGGAAGTCAGATAAGTCAGGACGGAAGGAGTAGTAGGGATATAAAGCAGAGAATAGCGCAGGGTCGTGTCGCCTTTAATAAAAAGAAGTCACTTCTATGCTCGCGAACGGTTAATTTAGAAATTCGAAAGAGATTGTTAAAGGTGTATGTTTGTAGTGCGGAGTTAAATTTTTAATCGCTTTTTATATCAAAAGAAACAAAATGTCTTGTTCTCTCCGTCGACCGTTCAAGCATACTACTGTTAAAGAGAGTAAGTATTCGAAAAATGGAAGATATAAAATTGCGCTCGAACCAATGCTAAAACTATTTTTAACAGCAAAAAGAGATTTATTACATTTAAAAAATATAAAAATCTGCCACAACCACCTCGATAACACTGTAGCTTTCAAACAATGAAAGAGCTTTCAATTTTGGTTCGTTAACCACCTCTATACATACCTCTTTGTAACACAAGTTTGATGCATACAAAAATGCATTAATTTATACAAAGGTAAGGCATTAATTTTTAAAACAAATATTTAATTGCTATTAGTTCAAGTAAAGGAGCCATTCGGGTAAGCAGAATTTTAGTTTAAATTTCACCTTGTCAGCAAAAGTTCCTTATATATGTACGTGTAGGTAAATGGTCCAGAAAATACACAAATAAACAAAAAATGATTCATTCTCTTTGTAGTTGAAATTTTAAAATATTTCAATTCATATAAAAGTAACCTACTAATTTATAAAACAAATTTTTAATCGCTTTTTATATCAAAACGAGTAAAATGTCTTGTTCTCTCGGTCGACTGGTAAAGAGTAAAGAGTATTCGAAAAATGGAAGATAGAAAATTGCGCTCGAAGAAAATCTAAAACTATTCTTAACAGCAAAAAGAGCTTTATTTGATTAAAAAATGAAAATTCGGCTACAAC